AATGGAAGATTACCAAAGGAGCACTCGTCATTGCTCGTGGTAAGAAGACTGGTACTCTCTATGTAACCTCCAATTTAGAGAATATCATTGCAGTAGCAGATGCTGATGGAAAATCAAACCTATGGCACCAAAGGCTCGGCCATATGAGCGAGAAAGGGATGAAGACACTTTTGTCAAAAGGGAAGCTGCCGGATCTAAAGAATGTAGATGTCGGACTATGCGAGGATTGCATCTTTGGCAAACAAAAGAAAGTCAGTTTTGCAAAGATTGGCAAGACACCCAAGACAGAAAGGTTAGAATTGATTCATACTGATGTATGGGGACCATCCCCAGTTCCATCTCTTGCAGGCTCACTATATTATGTCACCTTCATCGATGATTCAACAAGGAAGGTGTGGGTTTATTTTCTGAAGAAGAAATCAGAAGTCTTTGATACCTTCAGAAAATGGAAGGCCATGGTGGAAAATGAGACTGGTTTGAAAGTCAAGCGGTTGAGGTCTGACAATGGAGGAGAGTACAGAGACAGTAGATTCAGAGATTTCTGTGCAAACAATGGGATCAAGATGGAGACAACAGTTCCCAAGACACCGCAACATAATGGTGTAGCAGAGCGCATGAACAGAACTCTGAATGAACGTGCCAGAAGTATGAGGATACATGCCGGCTTGCCCAAATTTCTATGGGCTGAAGCAATCAACACTGCAGCTTACTTGATCAACCGTGGGCCCTCAGTTCCTTTGGATGGCAGAATACCAGAGGAAGTTTGGAGCAAGAAAGAAATAAACCTTTCACACTTAAGAGTGTTTGGTTGTATTTCTTATGTACACATAGACTCTGCTGAAAGAAGTAAGCTTGATGCTAAGTCCAACAAATGTGCCTTTGTTGGTTATGGCGGTGATGAGTTCGGTTACCGGTTTTGGGACTATGAAAATCTGAAGATCATCAGAAGCAGAGACGTCATTTTCAATGAAAATGTGATGTACAAAGATAGATCAACCGCAGAATCAAGTAATACCGAAGCTGAAACAAAGGAATTTGCTGAGTTCGAGGAGATTTCTGGAAATGATGTTCAGATCAATCCTGAAGCAGTTCAAGAAGAACCAGGCACACCAGAACTGAGACGCTCCTCCAGAATTCCTAAACCAACCCAACGGTATTCTCCTTCTTTACACTACTTGTTGCTGACTGACAATGGTGAACCAGAGTGCTATGATGAAGCAATGCAAGTGGAGGATTCAGTCAAGTGGGAGTCTTCCATGAAAGATGAGATGGACTCGCTTATGTCAAATCAGACATGGGAATTAGCTGAATTACCACCAGGCAAGAAAGCGCTCCACAACAAGTGGATTTACAGAATCAAAGAAGAGCACGATGGGAGCAAACGCTACAAAGCAAGATTGGTTGTCAAAGGCTTTCAGCAAAAAGAAGGTATTGACTACAATGAAATTTTCTCTCCAGTCGTAAAATTGTCTACAATCAGACTGGTGTTGAAAATTGTAGCTGCAGAGAATTTACATCTTGAGCAGTTAGACGTAAAGACAGCTTTCCTTCATGGTGATTTGGAGGAAGAAATCTATATGAGGCAGCCAGAAGGCTTCATAGAGGCAGACAAGAAAAACCTGGTATGCAGGTTGAAGAAGAGCTTGTATGGTTTAAAACAAGCTCCTAGACAGTGGTACAAGAAGTTCGATAGCTTCATGAGTAGCAGTGGTTTTATCAGATGCCAAGCAGATCATTGTTGCTACATCAAGAGGTTCGACAACAGCTTCATTATTTTATTATTGTACGTTGATGACATGCTCGTTGCAGGCTCAGACATGCAAGAGATCATAAACTTGAAGCAAAAATTGTCGAAGCAGTTTGCTATGAAGGATCTGGGCGCTGCAAAGCAGATTCTTGGGATGAGGATCAATAGAGACACAAAGTCGGGGACTTTGATGTTATCGCAGGCTGAGTACATCAACAAAGTACTCTCCAGGTTCAACATGCAAGATGCTAAACCAGTAAGTACACCTTTAGGTGTTCATTTCAGACTCTCCAAAGACCAATCACCAAAGACAGAGGAAGAACATGCACACATGGTGAAGGTGCCGTATGCCTCAGCAATTGGAAGTCTGATGTATGCCATGGTTTGTACCAGACCAGATATTGCTCATGCAGTGGGAGCTGTTAGCAGGTACATGAATAATCCGGGCAAGGTACACTGGGAAGCAGTCAAATGGATCCTCAGATATCTTCGGGGTACCACAAACAAAGCACTTTGTTTCAAAGGTGGAGATATGATACTGACAGGCTATGTAGATGCTGACTTAGCCGGAAATGTCGACATCAGAAGGAGCACTACAGGGTATGTCTATACTCTAGGAGGAACTGCAGTGAGTTGGGTTTCTCAACTACAGAAGATAGTTGCTCTCTCCACAACTGAAGCAGAATATGTCGCTGTTACGGAAGCCAGCAAGGAGATGGTTTGGCTCCAAAGTTTCTTGGAAGAGTTAGGCAAGAAACAAGAAAACAATATCTTGTATTGCGACAGTCAAAGTGCTATCCATCTAGCAAAGAATCCGTCTTTTCATTCCAGGACAAAGCACATACAATTGAGATATCATTTTATCCGGTCTCTTCTGGAAGATGGGATTTTGAAACTTGAAAAGATTAGTGGAGCTCAAAATCCGGCAGACATGTTGACAAAGACGGTGACTACGGACAAACTGAAGTTGTGTTCAGCTTCAGTTGGCATGCTAGAATAACAAGACCAGACATGCTGCTGCATTGATCGAGGTGTGAAGACATATTAAAATCAGTCTTCAAGTGGGAGATTGTTAAAAGTTTCAAAGTTTGGCAACCAACTTTGGAAAATGTTTTTTCAAAGTTTGGTAAATGTTTCTTTGAAAAATGTTTTTCAAAGTTTGGTAAAATTTTGGTAGATGTTTGTTGAAAATATGAATGGGTAAATTCACTTTAGTCATTGCACTTTAGGGTATTTTCAAAGATTAGTCCCTAAGTTTCTACTATAAATACCCTTACCCATTTAGCTTCAAAATCATCCCAAAAACATTTCTTTCTTCCTATACTAGAGAGCTTTCTTGTGAGTAGTGAGTGTTTTGTAAACACCTGTAAATTTTCTCTCTTAGTAAAAGATCTGCAGCAGCCCGGAGACGTAAGCACAATTGGCTGAACTCCGTTATCAATTTTCGGGTATTATTTTTCCGCTTTTATTTCGCATTCTCACTAATCTGGTTATAAGGAAATTACTTGTACTCGATTTATTTTCCTAACATCTCTCTCTTCGCCTCCGGTTCCGTCACTTACAGCGTTTTCCACAGCTTTCACGGTCGACCCTTCAAGCTTTAATCCTCTATCAAGGCAGCTTTCACTTCCTTCTTCCCCCTCCTCTCAACTTGGCTTGTAACCCAGCTTATCATTTCTGGGATCGGTTTAGTTCTTGGTTTGGCCTTTTTCTCATTACTCAAGGCAACCCAACTTGTAGGCCTCCAAGTTGATCACTCTTCACCTTATTTCATTCTCCTTTGTCTTGCTTACGTGATCATCCTCATGTTCATCGTGGTTTATTAATTTACAAGTGAACTGGATATTTGCTTATGTCATGTCATCGTCGTGGTTGAATCAAGCCGGGGACTTGAGCCTTTGAAACGAAGTCAAATTCTGGTTAAAGGAATGAAAGGGGTTGCTTTCAAGATTGAATTGGTTTTGAGCATCTTCTGTTGGCTCGGTGCCTGGAGCTCAATGTTAAGATCGGTTGATTTTGCCGGTGATACATTGAAATTTTGGACATCTCTTATACAGATTGTCACCATTCCCGCTTCCTCGTACTACATGTTTTTGTTTCATAATTTGGTTATAAACTCAGTTTTCTATATGTATGCCAAGGCTCGACATTCCTGAAGAGTAGGTAAGTTTGACGACTTTTGATGATCGGAAAGTCCCTGATCGAGTTGTTTCAAACGTTTAAGCTTTGATGAAGAACTGGAGAATTTCCAGTTTCATTTATGTTTTGTTTATTGTCTTCTGGTTTTACTTTATGTCTGTGAAAAGACAGATGTGTGGACAAATGTAAAACGAAATTGCTTCGGATTTGTAAGAAATTAATAAAATGTTAATCGAATGAGTCGTCGGAGAAGATGACATCGTGCGGGAGGACGAGGACGCGGACAATTGACGTATCTTTTAGGAATGGTTTTATGAGTGATGGAGATTGCATACTTGTTTTTTCTAGGTGATTTTTCTTTTTCAGAGAAAATTGTGTAAATTCAAATAAAGAAGTTCAATTTTAAATATTCGAAAAATACAAGGCCTGGAGACATAAATTATGATTTTTATAAACGAGTTTATAATTTATAAATGAGTCGATAAATAAACTTATAAATGATTCAATAGTTGTACACGCTATGAGCTTTTCTGACGGATTAAACAAAAAAAATCAAGTAACAAAATGCTAATAGGAATCAACTCATACTTTAATTCTAATGATCCCTCTATATCTTGATAATTACCTAAAGTATTATTTAATTAATGTCACGTGTTAATTTTTTATAATTTAGATAAAAAAATAAATACTTTAGGTACCTATTTTGATTAAAAAGATAAATTTAAATACTTATTTTGACCAAAACTTACTTGAGATACTTAGCTGAAAAAATGATATATTTTAAGTAGTTATTTATAATATAAACCATTAATTATTAAAGTTGAAAAGGGAATACATGAAATTAGACTATTTTCGTAAAAAGATGTTGACAATGTTTCAAATAATTGTTAGAATAATGTCATGTTATCTAGTTTAATAGAAGCTATAATTAAATTCCTAAAAATAAAAGTGAGGTTAAATTTCAAATAATTAAAGAGTATAGGGACTGAGAGTAGAGTTAGACCCTCAACGTAATAAATATTGTTAAGTGGGCCAGTAATGGCGTATCCTGATTCCTGACTTCTATCCTACGTTGAATGCATGGAATCTGACTTTTCTCAAAGCCAATTTTCCAATGGAAAGGCAGTATAAAGACAAAACCATCTTTTATTTGCTTTGCCACAAACAATCATCTCCTCCTTCTTCCGCCATGGCAGCGCCACCACCTCCGCCGTCAAACATCGGCCTCCGAACCATCTTATCCGAATCTAGGCGCATATTCAGAGCCCACACCTGGCACTTCCAAGCTCTCTCAGTCCTCTTCCTCCTCCCTTTCTCTTTCTTCTTATCCGTCTACCCTTTTATATATCAACAAAATCCCCCCATCTTCTTCTACCCGATTAGACCCTTCATCTCCATTCTCATTTACACCCTCATCCTCTCCTTCTTCTCTATCTTCGCCGTCGGTTCCATCACTCACAGCGTTTTCCACGGCTTTTACGGTCAACCCGTCAAGCTTCTATCCGCCATTAAAGAAGCTTCCACTTCCTTCTTCCCTCTCATCTCAACTGCCTTTGTAGAATCCCTTATCGTTTCTGGGATCAATTTGATTCTTGGTTTAGTCTTTTTTGCTTTACTCAAAACAACCCAAATTTTAGGCTTCCAAGTTCATCACTCTTCATCTTTCTTAATCCTCCTTTGTCTTGCTTATCTGATCATCCTCACGTCTATTTCGCTTTATTTAAGAGTGAACTGGACTTTTGCTTATGTTATTGTCGTAGTTGAATCAAGCTGGGGAATTGAACCTTTAAAACGAAGTCAAATTTTAGTTAAAGGAATGAAAGGGGTTGCTTTTAAGATTTTACTGTTTTTTGGCTTTTTCATTTCTATCAATATATTGCAATCAATTATGATATCTGGTGATTCAGCTGGTGATGACTGGAAAAGTTGGGACTTTATTTTGAATATTGTCGCCACTACCGCCTTCTACATGGTGCTTTTGCTTTATAGTTTGGCTGCGTGTACAGTTTTCTATGTATATTCCAAGGCTCTACAGGGAGAGCTTGCTGAACAATTTGCAGGAGAGTATGTAAGCTTGCCTTTTGATGATGGAAAAGCTCCTCATGTTGTTTCAATCGTTTAAGCTTTATGAAAAAATCAGGAGATTCTATAGTTACGTTTATGTTTCGTTGTTGCTGTTTTGTTTACCGTTCTGTAAGAAAGTTGTGTGAACTTGTAAAACAAATGCTTCAGATTTGTAAGAATTCATGAAAAGGCATACGTTGTTCAGTTTGTTAATGATGATTCTCTTTGCTTCTGTAAGAAAACTGAACACATACTGAAACATTTGCACATTTTTTTACCAGAAGCTTAGAAATGTTCAATAGTAAGTACAATGGAGTGTTACAGCGAAGTACATATCGAAAACCTTCTGTCATCCCATATGCAAGTACCGAACGACTAACTCTTCGATGTGTCGGTAGCTAGTCTTGCCTCTGATGGAAATCAGTGTTGCCCTTTACAGTCATAAATCAAAGAATGAACTTTCATAACCGAAATCAACCGGCTTCATTGATCACAATTGGTCACAGAATTCTAATATTAGCTTGGCTGGATGATGATGGTGCTTTTAGTTTAACAATACTCTCATCCTGTTCAGGATCGAAAAGAACATTGCTCCAGTTTGTTGATCTCTGTATAATTCTCGAAGGAACTTGATCACTATCTTCCCCGCCCGATGCTTCATACCCATCACTAGTAGACCTCGACAAATGAAATCCCTTGGGAGCAGCCATATTGACGGCAGGTAAACCTGTTAGTCGTCTTGATTCTTCAGCTCCCGATGAGGAGACCCGAAATGGATGAATATCTGGCGAGTCTAGACTGCTCTCGGGAGAAGAGGCAACGATCCCAGGATAGCTTGACATTGCTCGGCTGGTTTGGAAAGCGCTTCGTGCTTCCAGTTGAAGAGGTGCCAAACTACACAATGTGTCGTTGAAACCTTTATCGGTAGCTTTAGAGGAAATGCTCGTTAAGGACTCCAAGGGTAGGTCTGCTGGGAGACGAACCCGCTTGGATGCTCGCCTTCTGCTATCAGCTCTCGAGAACACTTGTCGACCACTGCTTCCAAAGCTGCTTCCCGCTTCTAGCCCCGAAGGGGCTTCATGTCTCACTACGGGCTGCAGGATTTTGGACTTTTTCCTTGCTTCAGCCGCAGCTTTCGAAACATCTTCTGCATTTAACCGTGCCAATGTCCATGGACTGATCTTAACAGCTCCCGGGTTCTTCTTCTTAATAGGTTCCTCCCCTACCATCTTTTTCCCATATGAACTCACGGATCCAGTATCGGGAGGAACAACATCAAACTAGGCGAAGATACAAACAGCACTCGGATTCAGTGATTCAGCTAAAAGTAAACTATTTTATATAACATAAAATTCGATATCCATATTAATTCTTGACAAGAAACAGTTTGTTAAAATCACCTGATCTTCGAGGAAAAGCCGTGGAGGTGTACACCATGCACCCCTATGAAAAGTAGAAAAGGAACTAGCACTACTTAATCCAGTAAGCGAGCTAGCTGGGGACATTTGCTGACTCTGGTGACCACCAACACCTTGTTGCTCTTGCTCCTGCTCTCGTAAAGCTATTATATAATCGTATGTGCTGATTCCCTGAAACACATTCAAGAACCATCAAATTAGCTTTATACTCGTTACGATTCGACTTACGAAGAAAATAGAGTATTGAAACGAAAACATCCTTCACGTAGTATGGGGGAAAAGGTCGAAAGACTTGCCTTCTTCACGAGTAGAATGTGAAAGAAGAAAAGCTGTGCAATAGGTAACGTAGCAACCATAGCCAAAACAGTGCACAATGCCTGTAAAAGTAAGAAATTTTACTGCTTAGCTTAATGTTTTGAATTCAAATATGCTAATAGTTATAGATTCGTTTGATGAATCTCATAAAGCCCAAAAATAATAAGACTTCAGAATTGGTATTGCATAGCAGTCAACGGTACTGGGGAACAAAGATTAACATTAATATTGACGCAACACTTACAACCACGATAACGAATGGAACCAAAGAGAAACTGCTTCCTAACTTTGTTGAAATATCCGCAGAAAACTGCTTCTGATCGATGAAACAGCATACAAGTACAAGTATTCCGGTTGACCACTGTAGAATAAGCTGCAATCTCAAGTCCAAAGTGGACAAATCATGTACATACCTGTCAATATTCAGTTAAAATGAAAATGGCTAGAAAATAAAAGGTTTACTCCGGGGGGTTTTTCGTTTCTGGAAACTGAGGGATCACTCATGATGCCATATGGCACAGGTATTATTCATGAATTTGGGCTTTGATACAAATGGTGAAGAAGAGTAACAAGCTTACCAATAGAAGAGCAGAAGCCATGAGAGTGAAAAATTGTCGGTAGTTCCTTTGTCCGATGCAATTGTTGAGCCACTAAAAAACACAGGTGAACAAAAGCAAGCATTAGCAGAATCATTGATGAAGTGGATAAATCATCCGGCTAATGAAGATCCCGCAATACCCTGCAATGATGATCGAAACGGTTGACACATTTGTCGCAGACTCTGCAGTGCTTGCTATATTTGAAAACCTGGCAAGAATAATGAACTTATAAACTAAAGCAACGTAATTATTCATCGGATAAAGGACAAAAAGCAAATGATAGAATTTAGAAGAAGCCAAATGCTTCTTTACCTCGACTTCACACAAACTGCAATAGAACATCCCATCTTCGTTCATCTGCTGTTCAGAAGATCCTCCGTTCGAGCTACAACATTTGCAGATAAAAGCACAAGGAAAGAAAATCCCCAGGAAACGAGATGATTGTTTCGACAAAGCCTTGTTTCTCTCGATTTCAACATGTGTGTCTTCTAAGGTTTCATTCGCAGTTGCAGCATCCTTTTCCAGAGTTTTTCCTGCAGCTGAAGTAGTGGTGTCTTCATGCAAGGACGTAGTTGAATCCCCAACAAATTTAGAATCCTTTGGGCCGGAACACTTCCTATTTTCAGGAATTTTGAGATACTTTTTCGACTTGAAAACTCCAGGATCCGCAGGATCAGCTGCCGCACACCAAATATATAGGCCAAAGCAACACGTAATCTAAAAGGAAAAAATAGTCACTAAAGCTCCAAGGTGATAAGGGCTCATCTTGCTATTACATACAGCATTACTTGTCGACAAGACTCGGGAAATGACTCAACATTGCATACTTAGAGTAGACTGTGTACAGATAAGACTTAAGAAACGACTCAACCATGAACACTTCCATGGAATTATAGGGTTAGGTAGGACTTGCAGACAAGACTAGAGAAATGACTAAACCATGCATACTTAACACCGAAATCGTTAGCATATTTCACGACCTCCATGAATGCATTCCAAACCATAAACTAGTTTTAAACTAAAAAGCGCTATCTTAAAGCCCACGGTTCGAGTCTGACTTACCATTTGCAATCATCTGAAGTGCCAAGACATACTTTAAACAACGGATCATTAGTGTTAAAAAGAAAAGTTAACTAGCTTCGAACCATCCAATTCGCATCTCTGCCACGGAATCTCCGGAGCTAGACTCGATTAGGTCATATGCTATTACACCACATTAAACACACTCTTTTACTACTATCAGCACTTACTGGAAACCTGTTCATGTAAATTATGATATAAAGGGTCTTAAAGTTTCAGATCTCTGTGGTTGCTGTGATTAACAGTTTTAGCAGCTCACAATTCAACATTTTAGAGGGAAAATACATGAATCAGATACCAGCAGGCAAAGAAAACATAGATCTCAGTCACAATAACAATAAGTGAAAGAAAAATGTTGAAAATCTTGTTAAAATGACTTACAAGAGGAGTATAGATTCCCATCACAATGTATTGAAACATCTCCTTCCCAACAAAAGGAGCAAAGAACACGTAGAAAGCAAATCCAAGTGCCAAGAACACAGAAACGGCCACCACCTTTACAAAGATAAGTAAAAAGAGATGAAAACTTTGCTAATTTCCCAGAATTAGAAACAACAAAGAGACAGAAAAAACAAACACCTGGAGTGGATGATAGGGAAGCTCCCATCCATGTTTCCTCATTTCCTATTCAAAATGCTACAGCTCTAGCAAAAGTACAACAAAGCAGAGAAGGAAGAGAATGGAAAAGGAGTGGAAGCCAAAATCAGCTGGGTTTTTTTCCCCTCTTAGTTTTTCACACTTTCCCTCACTTTCTGGGGAAAATAAAGATCACTCATTTCACTAGACCACCCAAGCAAACAAAAGCAGCATTACCCTTACTTTTTTTTTTTAACTTTCACGAGTCTAGTAAAAAATTTAAAAAAACTGTAAAGTGTAAAAAAGAAAAAAGAACAAGGAAGCTGAAGTAGATAGGTTTGGGGACAGGTGAGGGAAACCCTTTGTCTGGTTCACTCAATCATAGCCCTGCCTCTCATGCAATGAAAGAGAAACGACAGCAAAAAACACAAGGAGGGGGCTAATAAGTCTGTGGCTTGGGTATCTTCTTGGTTTCTTCTGTAAAGCTCTTTGCTTGGCCATAAGATCTGGCTCGCATCTGGCTCCAAACTCACAGCTTTGGTCTGTAATATAAACAAGGACTTCTTTTTTTTTGAGTAAATTACACTGCTCCTCACCAAACTATACTCTCACTCTTATTTTCCTCACCCAACCATTAATTTTTCTATTTTGTTCACTGAACTTTACACATTGAATCATTTAGCTCACTACCCATTTTCTCTCTAACCGCTTGATGAAATGATATTTTTTTTTAATATAAAATAACAAAAAATTAGAAGGTGGTCGGATGTCATTGCCGGCCACCGTTGACCGTCATACATGATGGCCATTTGGTCCTAAAATGGGATGGGGTCGCTTCGTCTCGACGCCTTGAATTCGAATATGACTTCCATTTTATCGGAACTTGATCCGAAGACCATAAATTTGAGATTGAAAGCGAGAAAACGAAAATATTTCAGTCCAAATTTACGGGTTTTGGGACATTTTCCTGTGAAACTACCACAATATTCGGACTCAAGGGGTCGAGATGAATCGACTCATGAAATTTGGTGTCGAACGACCACCATCTACGACGGTCGATGGTGGTCATAATGAAAATGACGTGGTGGCCGATGGAGAGAAAATGAAGAAGAGAATAAAAAAGGTAAATTACACCATGAGTCATTGAACTTTACTCTCTTGTATTTTACTCATCAAAATGACGTTGTTTTGGAGTGTATTTGAGTTTTTTCAAAACGATATCATTTTGATTCCTGTTCCATATCATAATACTGTTAAAAAGTTAACGGCAGATAGGGTGTTCAGATCCAATCCGATCCAAAAAATAACCGAAAACTGATCCAAAAAATTGATAACCGAAAAAAAACTGAAACTGATTTAGTGTGTTTTTTTTTTTTTTAAAATCGATTGGTTCGATTCGATTTCGGTTTGTAAATCTGAAATCGATCCAAACCGAACCGAACCGATAGTCTCTTAAAATGAATGGCTATCTCCCTGCGCAGAACAACACTATTTCAAGTTCAATAAAAAATGAAACCATTTTCTTGGCTCACGCTCACTCCCTGGCCAAAAATTGAAACCCTAGCCCACTTTCGTTCATTCCCAATTTACACCATCTCTTCTCATCCCCTCGAGCACAACCCCTCACTCACAACCCAAAGACTCTGCCTCTGCATCATCCTCGGCTCACAGTCTAGTCGATATTTTGCGTCCCTCACTCCATCACAATTTTGCTCCCTCCACTCGGAGTTTATTTTCGCCATGTTTAGGGTATGTCTCTGTCTTTATAGGGTGCCCTCATTTTGTCTTTAGCTTTGGGTGGTTTCTCTGTTTTTTGTGTATTTGTCTTTGTGTATTTGGTTGACAAATAATGGCATATGGACAGACCAAATGGAAGGCACACTGTGCTTCAATGCTTTGATATTTTGTCCCCACCACTGTCCAGGAAGTAATATTTCGAGTGGTTGCTGCAATTTTGCATCTTGGCAATATTGAATTTACAAAAGGGAAAGAAATGGACTCATCTATGCCCAAAGATGAAAAATCTTGGCTCTATCTACAAACTGCTGTTGAACTATTAATGTGAGTAAACTTCACAAGCTTGCATTTGTTAAAATATATATTCTATTTGCTTTTGTTATACATATGTTGTTTTTTTTATGAAAAAAATTCAAGAATTATTTTGAAAAATTAGAATCCAAAAATCGAATCAAGCCGCACTTAATTGGATCAGATTTTTTTTAGAAACATCCAAACCGATCCAAACAGAAAACATTTATACTTTCGGATCGAATGAATTTTTTTAGCCAAAAACCGATCCAAACTGACCGTGAACACCCTTACGGCAGAGTGAGCAAAATGATTAAATATGTAAAGTTCAGTGAGAAAAATAGAAAAACTGAAAGTATAGTGAAAAAAATAAGAAAGAAAGTAAAGTTCAGTGAGAAATGATATAATTTACCCTTTTTTTTAAGTTCAAGACGCAATCTTTAATTTTTACTTTAAAATTGTCTTCTTCTTTGCTTTAATTATGTTCAATGTGTCACAGTCAGGCCCATTGGCTGCAACAAACGGTTGCTTGGTTTCATCATTCGTTATTGTCACCAACCGATGTCTTAAAAAAAATTCCTCTTTATCTTTTTTAGTATTTCCTAAAATAGTTTTCCATAATTGCGTATTTGACCCTTAAATCGTACACAATTATCATTTCGGTCTTAAATTATCATGCATTTGACTCTTAAAACCATGCATAACTAATTTTACCTTTTGTAATTTTCAAAATATTTCGACATAATCATTTGTGTTCTTCCAACTTTTAGTGTTCCTTTTCTTGATTTTTTGTTATCCAATGATCGTTATCGAAAATGAGAGATTCCAAACTTTTGTGTAACACTCCTCATAATTTTCATGTATTCGTACAACCACAACCTCTCATTAGGTTTTCATGCGTAAACGGTGTAGGGTCATTTTTGCATTGAAGGAGTCGGAGAGCGATACTTACAATACCACTGCTTCAAACTTTGGTGGGTGCCTTCATTATTGAACCTTACTAAATAATGTGACAAAGTATTTAATTACAATATTTATATTCGATGCAGTAAAAAGAAATAATCCATTAAATAACTTCGGTGATTAGAGAGAATTTTATTCTCTTTTAAGGTTATGAGTTCAAACAGTTATGTTTATATAGTGTACGTATTATCAATAATTGAAGAAAATATGAAAATATATAGGAACTGTTCTCAACCTAGTGTTATACTTATCTTATATTTTATTACATTCAACCAACTTAAGTCGACCACATTCGTCAACAGTTTATCATGGAGTGGCAACCGTAAGAACATACGGACACGCTAAGGGTACCGGATTCACCACAAAATCCTCCGACGATTATCATCCTGCAAACTGAAACTACGCGTGAGTGCACCAAATCCTACGACGATTATCATCCTGCAAACTGAAAGTACGCGTGAGTGCACCCATACGCAGATTTTGGGATAAAATATCATTAAAAAGTATCACTACTCTTGGGTGGGAGAGAGACGTCTATGATTTACATACATCTAAAGTCTCTCTCTCTCTATATATATATATATATATATATATATATATATATATATATATATATAATCTTTATCTTTTATAAAATCCAACCCGACCCATGATCTAAATCTAAATTTTAAAAAACACACCGACTGAATTGGATCAAAATCTGTGGGTCAAAGGCCCCTGGCTCCATCTTGGTACAGTCTTTCAACTCTCGAGTCGCAGATTCTGACAGAACACGAGTGTAAGCAGAACAACTTCAACTCAGAGTTCGAGTTACCAGAAACCCGAAAATGGACCTCAATCAAACGATTCGTTGCATCGTCAAACTCGGTTTCTCTCTCTGCTATATTGTCTCAAAGTTCCAAGCTTTTAAAAGTGTTCTATTTTCTTACTCTTGAAACCACCTTTAAAATTTTGTTTATTTTGGGTGTAAAACAGGAGGAGCGGCAATTACTTGTAAACACGAACTAGAGAAGATCAACGAAGAGAATCTCGAAACAGTTTCATCCCAGTTAAGGCAAGCAATGAATCTGGGTTCTTGTTCAAACAAAGTAATCGGGATGGATTGGAGTAAAAGAGATGGAGTTCTGGATATTTCTTCTAGTTTAGCTGATTTCGATGATCAGCGTCAGTTCACCGTCGATTTCAGCAGATTTGTTGTCGTTCACGGTGCTGGTGAGCTTTGATTATGTTTTGATTCCTGGGGCTTCTTATTTGGATTTGAAGTGATTTAATTTAGAAATAGAATTAGTGATTTTACTTTCATTTGTAGGTTCATTTGGGCATTTCCAGGCTAGCAAATCCGGGGTTCATAAAGGAGGATTGAGTCAACCTCTTGTCAAGGCTGGTTTCGTTGCAACTCGAATTTCTGTAAGATATGGCGATTTTAGCATTAAATTTAAGGAGAATGCTATGCAACCACGATTGAATCTTCGCTGGGTTCATCGGTAAAACTTGTAGTTATCGATTGTCATTGTCATATTATTGATTATTCGATGATTTTTTTTCCGGTCATGGTCCTTTTCCAGGTTACGACTCTTAATCTCGAAATCGTCCGAGCACTTGCTAGAGGTACTGGTCTAGTTAACATTACATAACTTCCTATGTATATGCTTTGCAAATGTTTCTTTGTTAAGTCTAACAGATGTAGCTGAAAGATTCCATCAACGCTCTAGATTTCATTGTTCTGTGTGTTGCGACTTCGAATTAAGCTTAACCATCTTAATTATCTCTAATTTCTAGAATAGGTCTTTACAGCGATGTGTTTGAATTTACACACACATAGACATGTGAATTTGTTGAAGTTATCATTTGCGATTGTGCAACTTCTGTTGAGTATTCGCTGAATCCAGTGATGATCACATAGAGTATTCGATTAACCAAAAAGTTTTACGAATTTAGACTAAAGATGCTAAAACACTCATCAATGTTGTATTAAGTTGTTCGGCATTACCGACTTCATATACCATAATATTCTCTATTGTCGTACAATGCTTCTTGCTAGACCACTCGAATATGAAATAAAATAAAATAAAACTGAAATTTCTTCCGTTTAATGCTTGCAATAATCTGCTTTTCTCGACATGAGCAATTTGTCGGTAAACAAAGTTTTGTGCTTTTCTTGCAGAGGGTATTCCTTCTATCGGAATGTCTCCATATGCATGTGGATGGTCAACCTCGGAAAGAAATGTTAGAAACATCTAAAGAGTTATTTGTTAGACTATAAACCGACATCAATTATGAAGCCGGTTTTCTTTTCCCCTTATGTTTCTTCTTGGTGGAGCCATTGTTTCTATTAGCTTTTTACCAATATGTTTCTTCAGGTAGCTTCTGCTGATTTGTCGGGAGTAACCAAAGCGATTGACTCGGGTTTTATCCCTGTAAGTTTGTTGGAATTCTGTATCAGACTTCAGCTTGATAACTGAGCAGCATCTATCGGATTATGTCCTTGTTAAAGTTCCCTATGAATAGCTAATAATCGTGTCGTCTTATTACGTGCTTTTATAGGTTTTACACGGAGATGCAGTATTTGATGATCGTCTGGTAAGATATCTCAAATCATATGCAAATTACGATTTTGTTAATTCTCATATTCAACATATAATATAACTACTTGTTTAATCAGGGATGCACCATTTTGAGTGGCGATGTTATCATCCGTCATCTCGCGGAACACCTTAGGCCGGAATATGTTGTCTTTCTTGTATCCTTCAGCTGTCGAGAGAATTTTAAATTCGGTTTATCAACACTGCATGATAGATGTCAAACGTGGTTCTATGTTTGTTTTCCAATTAATGAGACATAAAAGACTGATGTTTCGGGTGTATACGACCGGCCACCGACGGATCCTAATGCAGTTCTCTTGAGAGAAATAGGTGAGCCACTTGCCATTAAGTACTGCAAATCTGACCCTTGCATAAATCTCGATATTTATGACATTATGCATGTTCATATCAGCCGTGGATGAAGACGGGAAGTGGTCTGTTGTGAAACCGACTCCGCAAAGCATGAACATGCAAGGTACATTTGCCGTTTTCATCGTTTGCCTTAACTTCGAACATAATGAAGAGGAGCTTTTCTAGTTGAGCTTTACCATTCACCGGTCCGAAAATATTGATTTGTCGAACGCACAGTTGAAATAACCGTAGCAGCTCATGATACAACCGGGGGAATGGTGACCAAAATATCGGAAGCTGCACTAATTGCAAAGCTCGGGATTGACGTTTATATAGTGAACGTAAGGAGCTATATGTTTTTTTTTCGTATTTAAAGCATAGGCTTCATTGGTTCATCGGCCTTCATGTTTGTGCAAACTTTTCAGGCCGCCACAATCCACTCATTGAAAGCATTGAGGGGAGAGCTGAGACATAACATACCGGATGACTGGCTCGGGACGGTTATCCGGTTCTCAAGGTAAACTGGCCGAGCATATAGAAATCAACGAGGTATTGGAGCATGTATTGCAATCGATACGGAGAACCGTATTTTTTTCAGATCGAACTGATAAGAGACCTTCATTGGTGGTTTGTTACCATATTGTTTTAAGCTTGTTTCTCAAAGTTAGCGGTTCGCACCATTGCTTTCATCACGATTAAGGGTGTAAATCAAACGCTATTCTATTTGATTCAAGCAGCTGGCTTTTGAGCTTTTTATTTATTTATTGATATAGTATTTTAGTGTTCCATTAATAAAATAACTCAAATAAATTTTAGATAATAAAACTACAGTTAAGCTCAAATAGTTCTTAATTCATCGGACCTAATCAAATACTCAGCCAGCCTTATTTTAACGACACTATTTACCTTCCACAATCCTTCATGCATTGAGGGGCCGTTTGGTTCAAAGCATACAACATTATCAGAATGGAATCTTTATTCTCTCATTTGGTTAGCCGATAATCTTTTATTATCAACAGTGGATTTTTTAGAGTATATTACCGGGAATGTGATTACCTTCTTCCCTTAGGTATTGTTGGATTACCAGCGTTTTGGACTAAAATGCCCTTAATTTTTTTTTCTCAAAATTATCTTTCTTCTGTCGTTGAATAATAAAAAATTTAAATTACAAATTTATCCTTAAACTATTTTAGATTTAAAAAAAAAAAATCATAATTAGAATTTTATATGAAGTTCAGAGGTTAAAATAAAATTTTACTCTTTCATTAAACCTTTTATCTTTTCAATTTTGTAAAAAAAATTATATAAATTTGTTGAATTTAAATTTTTTAAAGAAAATATATAAATTAATTATAGTAATATTACAATAGAATTCAACTTGTTAAAAAATCAAATATATAATAAAGACAATTTGATAAAATATACATTCTAATAATATTTTATTCCTTTAACCAAAACCGGTAATCTTACATTTCTACTAAACTAACCAAACACAAAATAAAACATTTACGGTAATCGTACATTCCGTGAACCAAAGGCACCCATTGAATGGTATAAAATTCTAAGCTTATTACTTTATAATATTACTTGTTTAATTGAAACTAACTATTAACTGATAACTAGTGTTCTGCTGGTTCCTGCTCTTGTGAACGTCCAATTTCAGTGTCGAGTGTCGTCATGCCGACTAGAAGAGGAGGCCGTGAGCTTGAACTTGCTCCATTTTGCTGGGAGATGCTGCTTTGTCCACGTTCAACGTCGTCGTCTAGAGCAGGGCGTGTGCTCGAACTTCATCGGGGGCAATGTTAATGATATCAGGTGAAAGCAACGAAAGAAAACCGTTAAACCAGCGGAAGATGTGGTTGGATAGATAAAAGAAGAGTCCATGAAATGGATACGAGAGAAGGACGAAGAGATAGAAAGGCCAGAAAAGCGAAGGAATGAAAAGAGAGAGGCTCCTAGCGATATGGTTACTGCAATGGAGAAGTTCCGGGGACGGTGGCGGATGCGATTAAGGTGTATAGTCAAAGGGAGGTCAACGGAGATGGAGAGGAAGAGAAGAAGAAACATGAACGCAAGGGAAAGGAAAAGCAGCCCCAAAAATGAAAATTTTCGATCGAAGATGGATAAATAGGGTTCAGAGTTGGAGTGGGAAGAAGAGTTTAGGAACAGAAACAAGAACAAATTCAAGAAAGGAGGAACACAGAATCTCAAATCCATAATTTTGGTTTTGTTGCTTCCTCAAAGGGTAACAGCAAAGCTGCTTATAAAGGCGGGCTATCAACGAAAGACACCCCTTTTTTTCCAAACTATCTTTTTCAACTCAAAATCATCTCATTTTTTTGCAAACTAGCTTTTGCAACGCAAAATCACCTGTGACTTTATGTTTGAATCGAATTTTGAATCAAAATACTTTCATAAACATTCTCAATGACCCTTATTTTTTTCTTTTTTACAATAATACTATTTTCCACACAATAAAATAAATGTTATGAATATAAAAATAACAATATTTTCTCATCAAATATTTAACATTATAAATTTTCAACAACTCAAGTTCGAGTCTTTTATTCAACTTGGGGGTGGCAATCGGGTGGGAAAAAACTGAAAATCGTGGGGATCCGAATTGATGGGGATGAAGTATAACCGAAATGTTCACCTACAGGGATGGGGATAGAGGAAGTTTTATCCCCGAAACTCAAATGGAGATGGGGATGGGGACGGAGATTGTTATATCCAAACCGTACCCGTGTGAATAACCGTGGGGATCTCCTAAAAATAACCGTAGGGATCCCTGATATTTTACAAAAATAACCGTGGGGATCTTCGAAAAATATATGTGAGATTATGTCCCACTGTTACATCTCAAATGAACTAAAATTAAAGTTTAGATATTGATGCAGGGGGATCCGAGACAGATGATGATGAGCTGTCATATTGCACCTTGATTTAGCTGAGATACCATGAGTTGGCAAATTAGCGCAAAGACGGGAATTGATTGTGATATGTTCCTCATTGGGGCCGTTTTGAGTGTGTTTCAGTCTTTTGGCCATAACTTTGGCTACGGGTGTCAGAATCGCGCATAAGACCCCAATCCAAAAAGCTCCTTTCAACGCACACGCTGTCCACATGAGCTATGCACCATGTGGCCTTTTTTCGACCTCAAATTCTGTCGTTTTGCCCTCCGAATCACTAGATTTAGATATTTTTACTATTTATGGTAATATTTTGATTATCAATTAGGAAGTCATTTTAAATTCGATTTCAATCAGATTTTTTGCAGATTGCTTATTTTATTTTGAATTTCAATTTAGAGTGATTTTCGGGATTTTTCTATTTTTGATAAAATTCCGATAAACAAGATTTTTGACTATTACAGTCCGGCTTGTGGATTGATTTTGACATGGTTTTGATTTTATAATATTTTATTAAACCCTAGAGACTTTTTTCTCTGGTTTTTGGACGAATTTTCTCTTGTGAATCATCTGTTGGAACTAGCCTGCGGGATAATCGTTATTCTGTCTGGCGTCAGATATTTTCTCATTTAATATACATTGATTTGTTGAGATTGAAAATATTTAATATTATACATATACATCGGGTGTTAGATGAATATTGATGTCTGAAACTTTCATATTATAGATAGAGACCAATTTGAGACAATTTGATATATCTTACAAGTTTTAGGCGTTGCATTGATTTCAAAATTGTTTATTTATTTTTTGGTATGTGGATTCACCGAAACCCACATGAAACGTAAGGGATGGGTATGGGGACAAAAAAATCCTCGAAACATATAATGGGGATTCCTCAAAACCGTACCCGCAAGTGTTTGGGACGGAATGGGTAATACAAAACCGTCCCCGCCCCGTTGCCACCCCTAATTCAAATTAAAACAACTCCAACCGCTTAAATCAAGTACTTAATGACATTTTAATCAATAAAATTAAATAATTTTGTGCTGAAAAATAAAATTAGAATAAAAAAACTACCTTTCCTTGAGCATAAACTTCTTTGCCATCAAATAAGCACTCTCCAAACTTATTCTAAACCTGACCAAATCAAGCTTCACATTCTGTTGCTTCAAGTAAATGTCCATAATCTCTGTTGGCCACCCTTTCTTTTGAAGTGCCAATGGATCTTTCAACAATACATTATCTTTCCCATACTTTTCAATCAAGCTACTTTCTTCAACCCTAATTTTATACTCCAAGTACTTCAAGTTTATCCCTTTAGCTATTCTCCTGTAAAATGCATCTGCCGCCCATTCCGTTCGATCGGTACCACTTGCATGAACACCGACCCCGGGCGGAGAAACAATGAATGCGTGAGTGCCGCACCGTGCACTCCGATCATCATGTGACTCGAATTGAACAATGTATATGCCTCATCAAGAGACGTGTAACGGTTCGGTTCAAATACAGTGACGTCAAATCCTACTTCTTTCATTACTCGAACAACTTCGTCTTGATTCAATATCCTTCGTGATGACACGTCATTGCCTCGGCATGTTAGAACGAGGCGAGGCCGACGTTCAGGTTTTGGGTCGAGGGGAGGATAGGGAATAGGGTTTTGGCTATAGGCTTTTTCTAGGAGATCCCGGAAATGCAATAGTGTTTTGGACGTTGGGATTAATGTTGGGTCTATGGTCATAAAGCCATGTGATATGATGCCTAGTGTGGCTGAAGGGAAACAATGAGTGACATTTTCCTTTTCGAGGGAAATAATCTCGTGTTTGCTAAGCACCTTAAGTAATTCTGCATACTTACTATGCCACCAATCATGGTACTCGGATACGACGATGATGAAATCACGATCAGCGTAGATGGAGTTGATGGTGATGAAGAGGGGGATGAATCCGTCATTGAAGGCATGGAACAAGTTTCCAGTGTACCCTCCCGCACTGAATACAATGGCCGGAGCCTCGTGTCGGATCGTGCATTTTGGGCTCGATGGACCAGAGACTAGACTGAGCTCTTTGATTTGGCCCATGATGTAACCCTCGTATTTTCTCGGGTATGGCTTGATTGTCTCCACGCGGACGGAACTGGTGGGGTCTATTGTAAAGAATGTTGAGGCTGCGGGGTCCAAGACAGTGGAGCCGTCGATCGTGCAGAGATCGTAGCGAATATAGGAACGGTTGCAGCTGATTGGGCTACTCATTGGGACCCCAACAAGTGGAAGAAGTTGCCGATTCTGCTGACTTGCCACAGTTGTAATTTCAACACGTGTATCTGTTGAAATTTAAAGAAAGGAAAATAATAATATAATAAAAGTACCACATTTTAGGCTATTTGTATGATGAGTCAATTATGCATTTAGTACCTAAACTATCAGTTTTGATTCATTTTATTATTTAAACTTTCAGTTTTTTCAAAATCATATCTAAGATTTAGTTTTCATTTCAGTATCCGCCGTTAAAAATTTAACACGTTTAGTACCAAAACCATCAATTTTGGTTCGCTTTAGTACAAAAACTTTCAAATATTTTTAAAACTTAACATTAAATTTTGAACGAGGTATTAAAATGAAACAGTAACTAAATTTTTTAATTGCATGGTACGAAAATAAAATAATAACTAAACTTTAGACACATTTTGAAAAAATTGAAAGTTTAGATACTAAAACAGACTAAAACTGATAATTTAAGTGCTAAATGTGTAATTTATCCTAGTATTATTTGTTAGTAATGTAAAATAGTCTTAGACAAGCACTTCACAACTACCTATATTTTTTTATTGGCTTAATAATTTTTAGAGTAATCAAACTTTTGAACAAAATTACATTCA